GATGCCCAGAACCCCAGATGTTCAGATGCCCAGATGCCCAGAAGCCTAGAAGCCCAGAACCCCCGATGCCCAGATGTCCAGATGCCCAGATGCCCAGAACCCCCGATGCCTGGCGCCGTGCACAGCTGCAGGGCTCTTGTGCTGGGTCCCCTCGTGGGCTGGGTCCTCCTGCTTAGACAGGGCCCCTGAAGGTGGCTGTACCCACTGACAGGCTGGGACCTCCAGGGTGCCCTACCTGCTCCTTCATTGCATGGGGAGTGAGAGACTGTTGCTCACAGAAGGAGAGGGTGGCCCTAGCCTGTTGAGGGCCAGTAGGCTTGGGCATCCACCCTGTGCTCCTGGTGCCGCCTTCCCAGAGCCCCACTGGGCTGTTTGCCTTGGGGGTGTGGTGGGCTTGTGTTCAGCTGCATCAGCTCTGGTCTCTCTGGGGGCCACGCCTGAGACCTCTGGCCAGCTCCAGCCAGGCAGCCCTTGCCCGGCCCCTGAGGCCCTGTGGAGGGGTGGGCACTGGACGGGGTCCTGACTGACCCCCATGGCCTAACTGCCCTTGGTTCACGTGGGTTTGGATTCGCAGCTCTGGGTGTATTCCAACCACATCCACAGTCTTTGAAACCTGTCATAAATACACGTTCCCCTGGGACCTGGGACACCTGAGCTTTGTGACAGCAACATTGCATTTTGTTTTGTTTCTGTAAAGAAATAAACACCTGGCAGCCAGGGCCAGGTGAATGCACAGAACATCACACGCGGGCCACACAACACAACCAGCTTAAAAACGAGCCTGCTCCACGGGGTGAGGCTCATTTGGCGCGTGATGTGAGCAGGTACTGATTTCACTGGCCTGATGCGGCCCACGGGCCCCACGTCCCCGCCCCTGCATGGAGGCCCACGGGGAGGGCGGCTGGCAGGGGCAAGGCCAGGAGGGGTCCCTCCCTGCACCAGCGGGTGCACCCACCTGAGCGTCTTACACCCTCAGGACTGCCTACAGCGGGTATCGATCCGCGTGAGGGACCCCATCCACTTCCAGGCCACGGAAACCCTGGCTTCCCATTCTCCTGCCCCTGAGTCATTCGGTGTCCAGAGCTGGATGAGGCCCACACTCCGCTCTCCCTCCCGCGATGGGCTCCCCAGTGGGGAGCTGGGAGCGCCCTGTAGCTCAGACCCTGGCGTCTGACCCTCACCCACCCGCCCCCAAGCCCCTCCGGCAGCAGCTCCATCTTCTCAGTCCCGCCCCTGGACCCACATCTGCACCATCGCAGGCTGACCTTCACCTGCAACCCTCCTGCCCCTCCCCTCTCCCCCCACAGCAGGGTCTGAAGGACAAGGCCAAGCCAGCCTGGCCCTTTCCAGCCGCCTGTGGAGGCACCTAATGTCCCGACCTCCCAACCCTGCACCTGGCCGGGCCCTTGCTGGGACGCCCTTCTCAGACCCCAGCCAGAGTCCACCCTCCCACCTCACCCAGCTGCCCGTGGTCCCCTTTCTGCTCACTCCTGAGGCACCTGTCCACCCTGCTCACACAGTGAGCCCCTGGCACCCGGAGCCCCAGGGGCTTCGAGCATGGGCTCCCCTGGGTGCAGCCAGCTCCTCCGGGCACCCCAGGGCCCAGCCCCAAGGTCGCTGTCCCCTCCTGGCTGGCAGGGCAGCACCCTCCTTGTTCTTCCTTGTCACAGCTGACCGGATATCTGAGGACTCTGACGTCGTCCAGGTTCCACAGTGAGCTTGCCAACTTCCTCAGAGGGCTGCGCCCGGCTGCCCGGTTGGAGCTGTGCTGACTCATGGAGGCGCATCTCTTCGTCCACCAGCTGGGTCCTGTTCCGTGCCCCCAGCCCCTTCCCAGGGTGTAGCCACACCCTCTGGGTCACCAGGTGGCGGACGCTGCTGGGTGGGTGGCTGCATTCCGGCGCCGTTGCCGGCGGTGCCCAGGGTGTGGGGACGCACTGACCGGGGGCCTGCTCTGGGGACTGGCCGCAGGCTGGACTGTCACTGGTTCCTCTGTCCCCTGCCCTGGGCATTGTCTGAAACTGGTCTCTTCTCCCTCCCTTCCCTGCCCACCGTGCATCCCTGCCAGCGGTGCACCTCGTTCTCCTGCCCATGTGGAAGGCCATCCCAGCCGCCGGGCACAGCCCATGGGCAGGGGCTGTGTGCTCAGCATCTGGAGGGAGCTGTGCCCAGGTGAGTGTGCCCTGCCAGCTGCCCTCCTGCCCATCCCCAAGTCAGGGGTCCTCCCTGTGCCCCCATCATTCTCTTCAGGTCTGTGCTCCCCGAGCTTAATGGCTGCCCTGATGTCACTGTGTCCATCACTCTGCCCCTGGGCCAGGCATGTGCCCAAGAACCCTGGTCTGTGTGAGAAGTCACCCCACTGCCCAGGGGCTGGGTCTGTGCCTGTGTGTGCTGGGATCCCCATCTCTAGCCTCAGACCAAGTGGCCTTCTCTAGCAAATCAGTCAGGGTGGGAGTCCCCCACTCCACGTGTCCTGGGTGGGGTGGGGGTGCTGGGGCACAGGTCAGGAGCTGGCTGTGACCCGACCTGCCCTCCGTGGTCACAGGCTTCCCAGTGTTCTACGTCTAGCTCCTGACCCATCCCCACGAGGCCCCCGTGTCTGCCCCCCAACCTGGGCTCCCCAAGCCCGACAGAGAGACACCCTTCCCAGGCCCGGGAGTGCCTTGCCAGCCCCTAGGGGTGCCCGCAGAGAGACCCCAGAGGCCCCAGGAAGTGGGTTCTGAGCAGCCCAGGCCCTGGGACTCTGGGGCCTCTACTGACCAGTCACCCAGCCCCTCCTGGTGTCCAAGGGTGCGTGGGAGGCTAGGCCTGGCCTGGAGGACCCACCCCCATGGGCAGACCAGCGTGGTGACCTCAGGGGGTCACCTCTTTCTGGGAAGTGCCCCCTGCACAGCCTGAGCAGGGGCTGCGGGGCCCAGAGGGGTGGGGGCATCCACAATCCGGTTACTTCCTGCCACCGGACTGGGATCCAGCAGGGAGGCGGGTGCCCGGGGCGTGGGGATGAGTCACCCTGGCACCCAGCCCGCCCAGGAGGAAGGGGCGGCTCTCAGACACCCGATCCACTCGGGGGGCAGTGGTGTCGCTGAGGCCTCTCCTGGTGCTGCGGTCAGCAGGTCACTGGGCCAGCGGCTCCTGGAGTCTGGGGGCTGGGCATTTTCTGCTCCCACGGGAGGTATCCTCCCTCCCCGTGGTCATGTCAGCCCCTCACTTGGGCCATCTCCCAGGCAGAGGGGCTGCCTGGCCTCTCCAGCTGACCCCCAGCTCCCAGTCTGCTCCCCCCTGGCCAAGTCATGGAGCCCCTCAGCCCCACCCTGGTCACCAACAGGAGGGGTCAGGCTCTGAGGTCAGCAGGGGCCAACAGCCAGGTCAGAGAGCCAGCTGGGGGCCTTCCTGCTCAGGCCTAGACTCGAAGGACTGGGGTAGGGAGGCGACGCTACGTAAATCCCGCCTCACCCAGGGACCTCTCGGCCCTGAACCCTGGGCAGGCTCTCTCCCGGGGCTGGCCTGGGACATAAGTCCACTCCTGGGACTCCTGGGACCCCTGACGGGCATCCTGAGCCTAGACCTGAGCCAGAGGTGCGTGGGCCCCTGTGAAGATAGAAGGCTGGTGCCATGGGCTCAGTCCCACCTCCGCCCCAGACTCAACCCACAGGGACAGAGCCTTGGGCATCTAACTCCAGGAGCTGGGGCTGGGAAAGCTTCCACAGACGAGGGGACGTGGGACCCGTGTCCTGCGCCCTGCGGACCTGCGGCAGGCTGCGCCCCAGGGCCTGTGTCCCTTTGTGAGGCCAGGGGAGGACCCCTTGCTGTGACAGAGGACATGTGCTTAGGCGCCCTCTTCTGCCCTGAATCTACTCCTGGCTCCTCAGGCCCCAGAGCAGTGTCCACAGGACCCTGAACCCAGGACGCCCCCTGGCGGACAAAACTGTCCAGGCTGCCAGCCCCAGTCAACAACTAGCCAACTCTGGCGGCCTGGCAATGGCTGGGCGTCCACTGGCTGGTACCTGGCTCTGTTGGCTGGCCTGCTCTGGGTGCCCCTCCCCACACCTAGCCCCCCGGCATTCCTGTATGGGCATCAGCCTGTGTGGGGCTGACCTCGGCTTCTCTGTCCCTATCCCTGTCTGTGCGGGGCCTGCCGAGGCAGTGGGCTCCCTCGACGCCCCACCCTGCCCAGCTCAGCCTCCAAACAGCCCCTCCACCCTCCCAGTGCAGCCTTCGGCAAGTGTGTGGAGGGGGCGCCTGGGTGCTCCCTGGGGTCTCCGAGGAAGAGGGCATGGCTTTAGAAATGTGGACATTCTCAGGGCAGGGCTGGGACTTGTGGGTGAGGGAGGGCAGTGACCAGACTTCCAGGGACACATCCGTCCCTCTGCGGATTATTGGTCTCAGAGACCAAAGTGCACACACACACGCACTCACACGCACACACGTGTATTCATGTGTGCACACGTGTATTCATGTGCACACGTGTACTCGCACACATGTACCCACACTCATGTATTCACACGTGTGTACACACACATTCACACTTATGTGTTCCCATGCACACGTGTGTCCTCACACATGTTCCCACACGTGTTCACATGCACACACGTGCACACACGTGTTCTCACACACACACAGCTTGGCATGTGTGTGGAGGGAGAGTTTAGAAGCTTTGTGGGGAGATGGATCCCCTAGAAGTTTCTGTCCCCCAGGCGAGGCCCTCACGCCTGGCGTGGTCAGCTGGTGGATGAGCATGGCCTGAAGTCTGGGTGGGACTCCCCGCTCCCTCCCCGTGTCCTGGGAATGGATGGCTGCCCCTCCCGCTCCTGACAGACTTAAAAATCACACAGAGTCCAGGACTTGCAAAATGCCCCCAGTGTATTTCTGGAAAGGCTGGCCTCTCCTGAGGCCCGGGCGGAGGCAGGGGAGGCCGTGGTTCCTGGCAGCTGGCCAAACAGCCCGTCGCCTGTCCCAGTGACAATCACCAGTAAGACCCCCCGTGATGCTTCTGTCTGGGAGCAGCGGCTGGATCCACGGCCAGAAGAGCGCCCCGCCCTCACCCAGGCTGGGTCCCGAGAGGGGAGAAGCAGGGGCACAGTGCCCTCAGGCTCGGTCACCCAGCCCAGGGCTCAGGCTCCCGGCCGTGGAGGCTGCGTGGCTGGGAGTGCAGGGGCTCTGACGGGAGGGTCCGCACCAGGCTGCAGGCAAGGCCCGGGCCCTTCTGCTCTAGTGCCTGTGCTCGGTGTCCCGCCTTTGTGGGGCCTCTGGCTCCTGGGAGTAGTCGAGGTCGCCGTGGGCGTCACAGTGCTGGTCCACACAGCCGCACTCCTCCACCTGGGTGTAGCTGAAGGCCCGGGGGGAGCCGTCCGCACAGTGCAGCGTCACGTTCCTGGGCGAGGCCCGCAGCTCCCGGCAACAGCTGCACCTGTGCTCCAGCACTTGGGCCTCCAGGGAGTACCTGGGGAGGGGCCGCTCAGCCAGGGCCACCGGGCCCGCACCCCGCAGCGCCTGCTCAGTGAGGGGTCACCAGGCCCACACCCCACAGCACCTGCTCAGTGAGGGGTCGCCAGGCCCGCACCCCACAGCATCTGCTCAGTGAGGGGTCGCCAGGCCCGCACCCCACAGCGCCTGCTCAGTGAGGGGTCGCCAGGCCCGCACCCCACAGCGCCTGCTCAGTGAGGGGTCGCCAGGCCCGCACCCCACAGCGCCTGCTCAGCCAGGGCCACCCAGGTCCACCCCTCAGCCAGCTGAGAACCCTGCTGGTCCCTGCCCCTCGGGCCACTTGGGGCAGCAGTCCCTGCTCCCCTCCTGTCCCCCTTTGTCTGCAAGCACCGCGCCAGGCGGGCCGGGCCAGGGTCTCACGCACATGGAGGCGGTGTCCCCGCAGTTGCCCTGGCAGTAGGCGAGGCGCACGGGGCCCGGGGAGCTGCAGCCCTGCAGCCGGATGACCTGGTGCTTGTAGTACACGGCGCAGGTGGACCCTGGGGGACACGGGAGGCGTGCAGGGGGTCAGCACTGGCCGGGCACCCCCACCCCTCCATCCCACAGACACGCCCACTCACTGTTCTGGGGTGGGGGTTGGGGGCACACGAGGCAGCAGCCGTCTTCGCTCAGCCGAGCCTGGTCCTGGGCCAACAAAGGGGGTGTCGTTAGTGCCGGAGCCGGGCACCCGGAAACGGGGCCGAGATGCGGGGCCAGGCGCACAAAGGAGTGGACAGCGCCCAGAGCAGGAGGGCCGCCCTGCCAGCCCTGTATGGCCGACCCTCCTCCCCACCCCGTCCACATGGGCGAGGCCGGCGGTGGGCTCAGGGAACTCACCGCGGGGCAGCTGAGTGAGGGGCAGGCCTTCCTCGTGGTCACCACCACCAGCCCGTTCTGGTGCTTCTCACACTCGTGTGTCACACAGCGGTTCCCAGGGTCTGACCAGGACTCGCCAGGCTGCAGCAGGCCCAGGCCAGCAGGGTGAGCACCCTCCCCAAGGACCTCCCTCCAGCAGGGGCAGCACTGCATCTGTGTCTGTCCCCAGAGGGCCCCCTGGCCTCTGCAAGAGCACAGCTCCCTGAGACCCCAGTACACCAGGATCCCCCGCTCAGCCCCCGCTCAGCCCCCGCCCAGTCTGGGGGTGCTGGCCCTGCTGGCCTCCCTCGCAGGGTGGCTTCGCCCCATCTGCAGCCCTGGCCTGCCCGGCCCAGAACTCGCCCCAGCAGGTCCCTGCCGCCACCACTCACGTAGAAGAGGTGGGCGGAGCTGTCGCTGGTGTTCATGACACAGGCCACCTGCACGCACTGCCCGCAGCAACGCCCGCTCTGCGCCTGGTACTCGAAGCCCTGGGGGAGGGAGGGGTGGACGTGCAGCCTGAGGCCGGGCGCTGCCTGGGGGCTCGGGGCGTGGGGGCGGGCGGGCGGGCGGGCGCTCACCAGGGGGCAGCGGGTGCTGCAGGTCTGGGTCTCGCAGCTGATCCGGAACGTGTCTGAGGACCCGCCAGGCACCTCGCATCGGCACGTCTCACACAGGCTGGAGGAGACCACGGCTCCTGGCTGGGGTGGAGCGACCACCAGTGAGCTGGTGCCCTTGCCTTCCCGGACATCCCCTCCACGCCGGGCTGGCCTGCCCTCCCGGGGTGACCCTCAGGGGCTGTGCCTCCGTGGAGGTCACGTTCTCAAGGGCCCGCTGGGAAAGACTGAGGCTGGGGGGCTCGTCATGGTCAGGACAGAGCCGGGGCCCTAGCCTTCGGCTGGTTCTTACCTGGTACAAGGTGCCGTTCACGCTGCACACGGTCCATTCTGTTTGGGAGGACCACAAAAATCATCAGGCCTGCAGACCCGTCCCTCCCCCCCCCCCCACCTGCCCGCTCCAGCCTCACCACCCAGGCCTCCTGGGCACAGTGCCCACTCATCACTAGGGCTCCTTCGAGGCCAGGTCCCCGCCGCAGTGCTCATGGAGAGCATCAGGGACGGCCTGGCCGCCGCCCGGGCAGCTGGCTGGGGCACTCACCGCACTTTTGGCTTGGGCAGCAGGCCCCGTCCTCATAGGTCAGGATCTGACGGGTGCCCTCGGGGCAGCCCACGAGCGTGGGGCAGTAGCTGGCATTGCAGGCTGCAGGGTGCGGGTAGGGGAGGAGGAGGCACTGAGACCTGAGTGTTGTCCCGGGGGGCCCTCCAAGAGTGCTGACAACCCAGGGGGTGGGGGTGGGCTCTCCAGGGACACCAGCCACCCCCAGGGGTTAGGCTTCCAGTCAGCCCAGGTGGAGGCGCCTCGGCCTCCTGGTACCCCTGCTGGAGGCCACAGCAGGGCAGGGTGCTGCCCCGTCTCCTTGGCTGCGCCCCCAGGAGCCAGCGCTGAGAGGCCCCCCGGGAAGCTGGCCAGCGCTGGGCTGCTGTTATGACCTCAGCACATAAGAGGGCAGCGGCTCATCCCCGAGCCCGGGGCTCACCGCAGGTGTACTGGGGACAGCACTGCCCAGCCTGTGGGGCCGCAGGCACAGGCACGGATCCGGGCTCCGGGCAGGTGGGGGGTAGTGGGCAGGGCTAGCTTCGGCAGCTCATGGTCCACGTGCCCCCTCACAGGTGCACTCCTGGCCCTCGACGCTGACCGTGTGGGAGGCTGCAAGGGAGGCACGCACGAACCGGCGCTCCAGCGTCAGAGGCAGGGGCGCAGGGCACCCCAAGCAAGTGGGAGGTGGCTCTGCAGAGCAGCAGGGCCAGTGGAGGACGGGCAGGGCCAGCACGCTCTCCAGGGCCCAGGGCTCCTTGGTGCCACCCTGGGGTGGGCACCACACCTGGAAGCCTCCCCAGTTCTGCTGGGACAGCTGTGTCCCCTCCCTGGCCTTGCTCAGGCCTCCGGCACTAAGAGGAAGCCTGGCCCTCCCTGTGCCACACTCACCTCCACAGGCTCCCCGTGTGGCCCCAGGCACCCTGCAGGGACAGAGATCAAGGTCACTGCTGGGCAGCAACGACCCCCAGCCTTCAGGGCAGGACCCCTGGACCCAGCAGCCACAGAAGTCCCCAGGGTCTAGCTGAGAAGGCGTTCGGGAGGAGGCACACCCCGCCAGCCCCAAGCCCACTGCCGGGACATACTGGGGCAGCCGGTAGGCACGCAGACTTCTGTGCTCGCGCTGAAGAGCGTCGTGCCCTCTGGACAGAAGCAGCCTTCCGTGACCGGGCCAGCGTTCTGAAGGGCCCTGCAGGGGAGCAGAGGGTTGGCGAGGCCCCTGTGCTGTCCAGGGCCGGGGAAGGCCACCCTGGGGGTTCTGGGGGTCCGGGAGGGAGGGCAGGCACATACAGGAGGCTGGCGCTGGTGCTGTCGCCCCCGTAGCAGTAGGAGGGCTTGGAGGGGCCACAGGGCTGGTACACCTTGTCAGCAGGGCAGGAGAAGGCTGTGTGGAGAGAAGCCATGCCTGAGGCCCAGGGCTCCAGCCGGGCGGGAGTCTGAGGCTGTGCTCCGGGCCCCAGTACGGGCTGAGCGCCCACATCTGCTGGGGCTGCAGCCTGGCAGCCGCCTCAAGCCCACCCGTGCGCCCTGTGTCCCTGCCTGGATGCCCCTATTTCTCTCCAGGAAACAGCGTGCTCTGCCCAGGGAGCCGGCCCTCCTCCTCCAGGAAGTCCACCAGTGGCTGCTGCCCAGCGCGGACACTCACGGCAGGTGTTGTTGGTCCAGCTCCTCCAGTCCACGCACACGCCGTGGGACGCACAGAGCGAGGCGTACAGCTCCAGGGAGGAGCACACCACGTTGGCGTCGGTCACGTGACAGTGGTCGAACAGGCAGCCTTCGAGGTACGGGCTCGGGGGGATCACGGCATGGCACAGCTCGAAGACCCTGCGGTCAGGGACACGTCGGGGTCAGCCCTGCATGTGGCTGCCAGGCTTCCCCGGGGGGGGTGCCGCAGAGCCACCGAGTGCCCCACGATCCGAGCGACCTGGCTGTGGCAGGGCCTGTTCTTTCTGCCCATTCCCCACAGGGCTCCCCCTCCAGCCAGCAAGCCTGGGTGTGGGGTTTGCACAGACCCGCCCCGTGCTGGCCCGCACAGCCTCGGGCTGACCGGGGACCAGCCCCACCGAGCCCTGCGCCTGGCGTCCTGCAGGCAGGACGTCTGTGCTTGGAGCCTGGGGACGGCCCTCTGACCCGCACCAGGGCTCATCCAAGAGGCCCCCCCCTCTCCGCTGGCCCCTCCTCCCACGGCCCGGATTGGTGGGGCAGCAGAGCCATCCCCCCCCACAACCGCTCCCAGAATCTCACTCGCTCAGAATCAGCTGGCAGACAGGCGAGGGCTGGCACGGGGCAGGGGTCGTGGGCCAGACGTAAGGGGACGTCGGGGGAGGCCCGTGGCAGGATGGTTGGTCCGGGTTCGACACCTTCCAGTGCCCGGACATGTCAGAGCAGGAAGCCACCACCGCGCCCCCAGGGAGCCGGCACTCGTCCTTGGGATCATTGGTGCAGGTGCCTGGGGTGGGGAGGCGGAGTCACACGGCTGTGGATGGAAAGCCACTCCAGCTTCCCGAGGGCCAGGGTCCCCAAGCTGCGCTGCAGGGTCCTCTGGCCCCCTGTGCTCCCCCGGCCCCAGGCAGCCGGAGCCTGGGACGGTTCCCAAGAAAGGTGGAGAGATGTGGGCCTCAGTGTCCCTGCAGGCTCAGCGCTCTGAGGGACGCACCCCTGCTGAGCACGTGGCCCCCAGGGACTTCTCACGCTGGACACCGCCGGCCGCGGGGACGGGACGGGGCTGGCGGGGCGGGGTGGGGCTCACCGCACTGCCCCTCCGTGTTGTTGGCAAACTTGCTGAAGGGCACCTCCACCGAGAAGATGAGGCCGGTGAACATGACCTGGACGCCGATCTCGGGGATGGTCACGTACATCTTGATGCCGATCTGGGAGACCTCGATGCCGCCTTTCCCGAAGCCGGGGCTGACCACCTTGCCGTTGAAGACGATCTGGACCCGGAGCGGGCGGAGGCGGAGGAGAGACGGGGGCGGGGCCGTGAGCTGCCCCGCCCACCGGCCCCCGCCCCGCCCACTGAGCTCCGCCCGCCCGCAGAGCCACGCCCCCGCGTCCGCCCGCCGGGCCCCGCCCGCCCGCAGAGCCACGCCCCCGCGTCCGCCCGCCGGGCCCCGCCCGCCCGCCGGGCCCCGCCCCGCCCGCAGAGCCACGCCCTCCCGCAGAGCCACGCCCTCCCGCAGAGCCACGCCCCCGCGTCCGCCCGCCCCGGGGCGCGGCCCACCTCATTGGTCATCACCCCGCGCACGGGCTTGCGGGTCAGCACCACGCGCTCCCGCCGGTACTCCACGATGATGGACTGCGGGCAGGACAGCCCGTCCTCCGCGTCGCAGAAGTAGTTGTCGATGAGCACGCGGAAGTGGCCGTACACGGGCACCACCTGCTGCACCAGCACGTAGGTGCAGTTGTCCAGGAAGGTGTAGTAGGTGCCGTCGAAGGTGATGTAGTGGGGGTCGCCCCAGCCGCTGCACACACCTGCGGCCGCACCGAGGGCCTCAGCGGGGCCAGCGCCCCCGGCCTCCGCAGCCCCGCCCCGGCTCTCCCAAAGCGCATCCGCCCGGGCTCTCCGCGAGGAGCGGGAAGCCCTGGGCTCGGAGCCGCCGTCACCACCCCGCACAGAACTGCCTAGGAGGGGCTGGAGGAGGCCGGAGCTGGGGCCGGAGCCCTGGGCCTTCTCCCACATGGCACAGCCCAGGTGCCTGGGCACCTCTGCACCGGACACTCCTGGTGGAGGCTGGGCATCACCCATGCACTGCCTACTCTCGGGAAGTCCTTCCTGGTGTCTAACCCGAGTCCCCACCCACCCGGCAGGCTCCCTGGCTCACATTGGCATTGGTATTGCAGGCAGCAGCCATCCTGGTCGGCCACCTTCAGGGCAGGGTAGCCGTTGGCGCAGGTTGGCTTCTGCACCTGTGGGCATGGGCGCGGCTGCAGGGTGATGACGTTGTTGCCTTCACAGGTGGCCTGAGAGCAGTTGGGCATGGCCCAGGTTTCTCCTTTCTGTGGGAGCAAAGACAGCTGCAGGCGCCAGCCCACCAGGACGCCCCCAGGACGCCCCTCAGCGCCCAGAACCTGTGGTGCCAGGTGGTCTCCCTGAGAGAAGACTCAGTAGGGAACAGGGATGGGGACCATGCCTTTGGGTTTTGCATTGGCGCCAAAGCTCTCCACCCCCACCCTACCGAGGGCCAACTGCGGGGCTGGCTAGGAGGATCTCACGGGGTGTGAAGGCTGCCACCTCCCCTCTGCCCATTTCTACCCTGTTCCCCATACATGGGCTCCCCGGCTCCACTCCTGGTCTTCTGCCCCGACCCCACACACCCTCCATGGCTGTCCGGCCCTGTCCAGAGCATCAACCACCCACTCTGGACCCATGTCACCCACCTCCAAAAGAGGCTCAACTCGGGCCCCACACTCCTGGCTATCTGGGGGGCACAGCCTTCCAGCCACATCCCCATGTCCAGACTGCAAAGCCTGGTCATCGCCCACTGAAGCCACAGCCTAGCTGGATGGAGGCTGGGGTCCCCACTTTAGCCCAGGAGCCCCCAAGAAAGGCAGGAAGAGGAGGTTACCGTTCTTGGAGGCACTGCATTGGGGCATCCCTGTATCGTGACAGACACAGGGGACGAAGGAGAGGAGCCAGGTGGGGAGGTCACCAGGGCGGTAGGTGGCGTGCTGGTGGGGCAGACCCGGTCAGCCTTTCGCACCACGTGGCAGTCCAAGGTGCACAGGGCGTAGTAGCAGTGGCCGCTGAGGTCGACCTGCTGATACACGATGGACCCTGCAAGGCGAAGGGGCGGGCATGAGCGGTGCGGTGCTGGGAGGCAGCACAGCAGAGACTGGCCACGCACGTGGCCGCTCCTGACGTGGCAGGCGGCCTGCGGACCAGATGTCGCTGGAATAATTGCTCAAAGACAGCTGTGGTGAAGCTGTGATCACAGAGACAAGGAGCCAGGCAAATGCCACACACCTGCGGGATAGAGCTTGTCAGACACACTGCAGTAGCAAGTCGTGGTAGATGGCACTGCCGAGCTGGGTGAGGTCACGGTAGGAGCCACGAAGGGAGACTCTGTAGTGGGCACGTGCTTGGAAGTCACATACGGGGTCACAGAGGACACAGGACAGCCTTCTCGGGGCTCGCAGCACAGCACGCGCACCTCGTAGTTGAGGCACATCCGGAATCTGCCCACCTGGTCTCGGTTGTGGCACACCAGGCCCGTGTCGAGGTTACACTGCACGACCTGGCCCAGCCCCTCGATGCTGACCTCAGGGTGGTTCTCGGCTCGGCACTCCAGGTCGGTGATGTACTCGGGCCGGTGGCAAATTTTCTCTCCGCTTTGGACGATGTTGCTGTAGGTTTCCTGGTCTCCGCCATGGGGCCCCGGGGACGGGAAGTCCACGTCGAACCACTTGGTCCACGTGCACTGTGGCTGGCAGGTGGTGGTCCCGGGTGTCGTGTGGGTTGTCTCAGGTGTAGGAATAGGGGTTGTGGTGGTGATGGGAGCTGAGGTGGTGCTGGTTTGTGGCACGGGGGTGATTGGCACGGGGGTGGTCGGCACGGAGGTGGTGCTGGTTTCTGGCACAGAGGTGGTTGGCACAGAGGTGGTCCTGGATGTAGCCACGTGAGACGTGGTCTCAGTAGGACTGGTGATGCTCACACTTGTAACCGGTTCAGAGGTAGGGCAGCCTTCCCGGGGCTCACAGCACAGCACGCGCACCTCGTAGTTGAGGCACATCCGGAATCTGCCCACTTGGTCTCGGTTGTGGCACACCAGGCCCGTGTCGAGGTTACACTGCACGACCTGGCCCAGCCCCTCGATGCTGACCTCAGGGTGGTTCTCGGCTCGGCACTCCAGGTCGGTGATGTACTCGGGCCGGCGGCAAATTTTCTCTCCGCTTTGGACGATGTTGCTGTAGGTTTCCTGGTCTCCACCATGGGGCCCCGGGGACGGGAAGTCCACGTCGAACCACTTGGTCCACGTGCACTGTGGCTGGCAGGTGGTGGTCCCGGGTGTCGTGTGGGTTGTCTCAGGTGTAGGAATAGGGGTTGTGGTGGTGATGGGAGCTGAGGTGGTGCTGGTTTGTGGCACGGGGGTGATTGGCACGGGGGTGGTTGGCACGGAGGTGGTGCTGGTTTCTGGCACGGAGGTGGTTGGCATGGAGGTGGTTGGCACGGAGGTGGTGCTGGTTTCTGGCACGGAGGTGGTTGGCATGGAGGTGGTGCTGGTTTCTGGCACGGAGGTGGTTGGCATGGAGGTGGTTGGCACGGAGGTGGTGCTGGTTTCTGGCACAGAGGTGGTTGGCATGGAGGTGGTGCTGGTTTCTGGCACAGGGGTGATTGGCATGGTGGTGGTTGTCACGGAGGTGGTGCTGGTTTCTGGCACAGAGGTGGTTGGCATGGAGGTGGTGCTGGTTTCTGGCACAGGGGTGATTGGCATGGTGGTGGTTGGCACGGAGGTGGTGCTGGTTTCTGGCACAGGGGTGATTGGCACGGGGATGGTTGTCACAGAGGTGGTGCTGGTTTCTGGCACAGAGGTGGTTGGCATGGAGGTGGTTGGCACGGAGGTGGTGCTGGTTTGTGGCACAGGGGTGGTTGGCACGGAGGTGGTGCTGGTTTCTGGCACAGAGGTGGTTGGCACAGGGGTGGTGCTGGTTTCTGGCACGGGGGTGGTTGACACAGAGGTGGTTGGCACGGGGGTGGTTGGCACGGAGGTGGTGCTGGTTTCTGGCACGGAGGTGGTTGGCACAGAGGTGCTGGTTTCTGGCACAGGGGTGGTGCTGGTTTGTGGCACGGGGGTGGTTGACACAGAGGTGGTTGGCACGGGGGTGGTTGGCACGGAGGTGGTGCTGGTTTCTGGCACAGAGGTGGTTGGCACAGGGGTGGTGCTGGTTTCTGGCACGGGGGTGGTTGACACAGAGGTGGTTGGCACGGGGGTGGTTGGCACGGAGGTGGTACTGGTTTCTGGCACAGAGGTGGTTGGCACAGAGGTGGTGCTGGTTTCTGGCACAGGGGTGGTGCTGGTTTGTGGCACGGGGGTGGTTGGCACGGAGGTGGTACTGGTTTCTGGCACGGAGGTGGTTGGCACGGAGGTGGTCCTGGATGTAGCCACGTGAGACGTGGTCTTAGTAGGACTGGTGATGCTCACACTTCTGACCGGTTCAGAGGTAGGGCAGCCCTCCCGGGGCTCGCAGCACAGCACGCGCACCTCGTAGTTGAGGCACATCCGGAATCTGCCCACCTGGTCTCGGTTGTGGCACACCAGGCCCGTGTCGGGGTTACACTGCACGACCTGGCCCAGCCCCTCGATGCTGACCTCAGGGTGGTTCTCGGCTCGGCACTCCAGGTCGGTGATGTACTCGGGCCGGCGGCAAATTTTCTCTCCACTTTGGACGATGTTGCTGTAGGTTTCCTGGTCTCCGCCATGGGGCCCCGGGGACGGGAAGTCCACGTCGAACCACTTGGTCCACGTGCACTGTGGCTGGCAGGTGGTGGTCCCAGGTGGCGTGATGACATGTGTGCTGGGTACAGTTTTGGTTGCTGGGGGCACATGCACGGAGCTGCTACTCTGGTGTTGCGTGGAGGTCAAGGAGACTCCCGTGGTTTCGTGTGGGGTTGAGTGCGTGGTCTCAGATGTCACGGGTGGGGTGGTCCTCTCTCTGCATACGTCCACCCACTCGCAGCACTGGATCCGGATCTGGTAGTTGTAGCAGATGGGGGGCAGCTGGTCCCTGTTCCGACACACCAGGCCCACGCTGCTGTTGCAGACCACGTCCTGCCCCAGCTCGGCCAGCGGCGTGTACGGGAAGCGCGCTGCCCGGCACTGCACCTCGCTGGGCCTCTCGCAGAAGGTGTACCCTTTGGACCGCAAATTCTGAAAAGTGTCGAAATCTCCACTGTCGATACCAGCCCCGGGGTAGCTGCCATCCAGCCACTCGGTCCAGCTGCACCACCTCTGCCTACAGGGTCCTGGGGCGCTGGTCCCCGCGGAGGCTGTGGTCGAAGCCGTCGCTGAGGCTGGCTTTGGGGTGGAGGTTGAGAGAGTTGTTTTCACAGGTGGAGAGGTGCCCGGGGCAGGTGGGGAGGTGCCCGGGGCAGGTGTTTTGCTAGTTGTAGAGGAAGTGGTGGGGCCGGTTGTGGTGACGGGGGCTGGGGGAGCTGTGCTCTCTGTCAGCACAGAGGTGGGCCCTGGGGTGGGCGCAGTGCGCGCTGTCTCATCGGTGGCGGGCGGGGTGCTGTGGGCTGGGCCCCGGGAGGTGGGGCAGGCCCGGGCAGAGCAGCACAGGACCCTGAGCTGGTAGTTGTCGCAGAGGCCGGAGACCTGGTCCCGGTTGTAACAGACCAGCCCCACCGCCGAGCTGCACTCCACGCGCTGCCCCAGGACCTGCAGCGGCACGTCAGGGGCGTCCTCCGCGCGGCATTCCACCGCCCGCGGGGCCTGGCAAACTTGGTACCCGTGGGCACGGAGGTTGTCCAGAGTGTCGAAGTCGCCGCTGTCGACGCCCCGTCCTGGGCGGCTGACATCCAGCCACCGTGACCACTGGCAGTCTTCCCCACAGGCTGGCCGGGGGTGTGGCGGTGGGTACTGGGCTCGTGGCAGGGCTGGGGTGCATGGCGGGTGGACCTGTCGAACTCCCAGCTGAGGGCAGAAGAGGAGGCAGAGGGGCCCAGCGTCAGGGATCAGCACTCAGGCGGCCCCTGAGTTGACCCTGTCCTTGTCCCGTCAGTCAACTGCCTGGGATTTCACCAGGTCGGCTGCCTGTCTGTCTGTCCGTGACGGGCACCCAGTCCCAGGGACATGCCCCACACAGCATTGAATAAACAGGCGAACTGATCTCATTGAAGGGGAGCTGCTCCCCAAGCTTGCCCTGAGTGGGATGTGGACATGGGACCCCGAAAGGCAGAGTTTTAACTCTTCACTCTTGGGCACCTCTGATGAGATCCTGAGATGCCCCAGGAGAGGGCGAGGACCACAGTGGAAGGAGAGCGGCGGCCGTGATCAGGCAGGGCCCCTACTGTACCCTCCCGTCAGCCTGGGACACTTGCTGGGGACCTCAGTCCCCCCAGGGAGACCCAGCGAGGTGACCCTTCTGGACTGTGGGGCGACTGTCCTCTGCCCACTCCTGGGCCCCTCCTGATGGAGTCTCAGGCAGCGGGACAGCCTGCAGGGAACCGGGCACGTCCGCCTCACCGATCGGGCCTGTGGAGAAGGAGAAGGTGGTCGGGGGCTGGGGGGCTGGGGGTGCTGGGGCTGCAGGCATGGACGCTCCTCTCGATGGTGCCCTTGGCGCCGCAGCGGGCAGAGATGCAGCTCCCCGTGCCGTCCCTCGTGTGGTAAGTGACGTCCCCGGGATGAAAGTGCCGCCAGTCATAGGTGCAGACACAGGCTGTGGGGAGCAGAGCAGCTGGGCGGATCAGCTAACAGGGGCGTGGGTGAGGGCCCCGACACCCCAGACCTGGGGCGGGCCGCCCGCCGCTCACCCTCGGGGTTGTAGGTGCACCGCACGCCGCTCTCAGTGCAAATGCTGATGACAGGGAAGAGGTGAGTCTGGGTACAGGTCCAGCTGCGCAGGGGTGGGCGGCCCGTGGAACCTGAGGTCACACCCTCTCAGGGAGTCCCTTCCAGTCAATGACCACGGAGCCCACGGACCTTCTGATGGCAGCTCTCTCTCCAGGACGTCTGTCCTGGGGTCCTCGAGTGGTGTCAGGCTCAGTACCCCGGGCCCATCTGCTTCCCCTTCCCTCCCCTTCCAGGTCCCCACCTCGTCCTGCAGAGGGAGGCTCTGGTGACCCCTCAGGAAACCCAGGCCCCGCCTGGCCCCTCCGGGAGGTGGCCCGTGGGGCCTGATCGCAAGGGCGGTGGGCCAGGCGCGTGCCCATATCTCGGGGCTCCCCGCTGCGGACTCACTCACAGGAGTGGCAGTTCTTGTCCGAGGGCCCCACTGCCCCGGGCCGGTACAACTTGCCTTGGACTTGGCAGGGTGGCGGTGGGGGCAGGGACGGGCATGTGGCCACACACTGCATGTTGTCCTCTTTGAAGATTGGGGCCTCTGGTGGGCACTTGGACCAGCAGCCTGTGGGCAGACAGACCTGAGTCCCAGCCAGACAGACTGCCTGGCCACCTCTCCCCACAGCCTCGGCACTGTCCCCAGTGTGGGCCTCACCCACAATGCACTGGGGAGCGCCAGGTTGCACCCGCAAAGGCACCTCGAGAGGTCAGAAAGAGCCCAGTGCAGCCAAGGGCCCCAGGATCCCCAGGACGGCCCCCCCCAGGATCCCCAGGCGGCCCACCTTCCAGGCCTGGTGTGTCCTGCAGGCACAGGCCACGGGGGTTCCGGCTGGTCTTCATGCAGGGCACCCCACAGGGCTGGTAGTGCCACTCACACTGGCCCTCGGGGTTGTAGTAGTCGTAGAACAGGGCTACAGGGCAAGGACACTCCATGGCCCCGGCTCTCCCTCAGCCCCCACTGCCCCTCACACCCCCCCCGCAGCCCCCACAGCTCCCTACTGCTCCCCACATCCCAGGGAGTGGCGCCCTTGGAGGGACAGCCCAGGGCCACGAGCTTGCCCAGCAGGCCCCCTTCACCCTGATATTTGACCAAGTCCCATGGGCTGTTCTGGAGTGTTTCTCTCCCATGACCCTCAGATGTGTCCCCTGGGGACATGGGCCTAGAATTCTGTGGCTCACTGGGTAGTGGGAGAAGGTGGCCAGCTGGGGTCCCCCCTCGGGATGGGGGACTTGGTCTCAGCAGCGCCCCAGCTGCATTGTCCTCTGGCCAGACTCTGTGCTGGAGGGGGATGGGGGCTCTGCAGACCCCTGCTTTCCAGAAGGTTCTACCATACCTGCTGTCTCTTCGTCAGCAACACACCCCCCATTCTCCTTTCAAAGCCTCCTCACCCTCCCACAGTGAGCGAGGGGCTCACGGCAGGTGTCCAGGGTGCGCCAGGACACGCAGACGCCCACGTCGTGGCAGGCCTGGGCGTAGGCGGCCACAGCGGTGCAGAGTCGCTCGCAGTCGCCCCCCAGTCACAGGCACAGGCATCGATCACACAGGCCTCGTAGTACTTGGTCGGCTCCACCTGTGGGGGACGGGCCTCAGATTCCGGGTCCCCACCCCGGGCTCGGGGATCAGGCCTCGATATGGAGCTCAGGGACAGCATACACCTTCTCCACGTGGCCGGCGGGACCCACCTCATGTCCACAGGCCGGGTCTAAAGGGAGGCCCACCCAGCCAGGAGGCGCCGGGCCCCTGCCTTCCACCCCTTCCTCCCCGGGTGCCCCAGGCCAGGTCCCAGGTACATGGGCCTGGCAGGCCTGGAAGGTGGGGCTGTTGATGAGGCTGCACTGCTTCTGGAACCAGGACTTGCGGTGGGGGTTGGCGGTGCAGGGGTCCCTGGGGGCCGGGGCGTCAGGGCAGGTGGGGGAGAATTTCCAGCTGTTGCCAAACTCCAGAGCGTCGCCCACCACGGACTGGCTCCGCGTGGTGAAGTCGTTGATGGCGTTGTCATCGAAGTTCCCGCACAGCCCGCAGACCCTGCCCTGCAGACGAGACGGAGAGAGTGCTGGGGGCCCCCTTCCCTGCCCCGACCCCTGGACCCCTTCCCTCCCCAGGAGGAGGAGGGGCGCCTGAGACCGCACAGCCCTGCTCCGAGCACAGGCCCACGGTGCCAGACCCCAGCCCCTCCTGGAAAACAGGGAGTTTGGGCTGAGTGGTGTCCCCCAAAGACAGGCTCAAGTCCTGACCACAGGACCCATGTGGAAAGAGGGTCTCTGCAGATGAGACCAAGTTAAGAAGACGGCCACCGGGGTGGGCATGGTGGGTCCAGTGGCTGGAGTTCTGGTACGAGGGCGTGAGCACAGACAGACACAGGAGCTCTGTGGTCACGGAGGCACAGTGAGGGGTGCGGCCACGGGCCGGGAGCACTGGAGGCCCCAGAAGCTGAGAGGCAGGAGGGAGCCTCCACGGAGCCTCTGGAGGGAGCCGGCCCTGCGCCACCTGGGCTGGACTTCCGGCCCCCGAGCCCTGGGAGCAGGAGCCCCCGTGTGTCCTGATCTGTCCCGGCAGCCACGGGACCTGCCACGGGACCCTGCTACCCACAGCATGGGGGCTCGTGCCACCCCCCCTCTCTCCGTCTCTGTCTGGCCCTCTCTCTGTCTTCATCGCTCTCTGACTCGGTCTGTATTTCCCCCTAACCCACACCTCCTGCTCCCCCTGGGTCTAGGGCGAGGCCGTGGCAGGTGGGGGGCCTCACCTTGAACTCGGGGCTGAGTCTGAGGAAGATGCTTGTCTTCTTGTCCCACAGGAGCACCAGGCCGGCCTCGGTGTCCACCACCAGGTAGATGCCCACCTGGCGGATGGAGTAGGGAGCCTCGGGCCCCGCGCCCTTCTCGATCACCTCCACTTGCCCATCACTCAGCTTCAGCTCGTAGCTCTGTGCAGGGAGGGGTCACTCAGAGCCGGGCGAGGACCCAGGTCCCCTCCAGGGAGGCCCATTGGCCCTGCGGGGCCCCCTGGCTCAGCCACAGGAATGCAGCCTTCCTAGGGGTTCCTGGAGCCTCCTGGGGGTGCCCCAGCCTCTGCCCGGTGCCCCACTCACCCCCAGGAAGATCTTGATGGCCTTGGAGCAGGTGGTCCCCGTGGTGCCACAGGGGACGTTCTCGGTGACCACGCGGAAGGCGTTCTGGGCACTGCCGTTCCCACCACAGTGGTCCTGCAGGACAGCGAGGTCGGCTCACCTTCCCAAGGAGAGGCCCACGCCGAGGGGGTGCGCGGGGCCTCTGGAGGGGCTGGGGCCCGGGGGCCGTACCTGCACCAGCGTGTACTCGCAGTCCCCGTTGAAGCTGTAGCGCTGCCCGTCGAAGGTGAGATAGTGGCCGTCCCCGTACACGGCGCAGGTGGCCGGGCAGGGCTTGTCTGTGCACTGCCACACCCGGCTCGTACAGGTGCTGCGGGAGGGAGGTCAGGCCAGAGTGGGGCGGGGCGGGGCGGGGCGGGGACCGGGCGCCCCTCCTGGAGGCTCCCGGGGGATGTTCGGGTGCGGACTGAGGTGTAGCCTCAGGTCTGAGGCCTTGCCGGCCAGGGTGCAACACCCGTGGCAGGACCCCCGGGAGGCCCACGGCACCACGTACCAGGTGTTGCAGCCCACCCGTGGCAGGACCCCCGGATGGCCCACGGCACCACGTACCAGGTGTTGCAGCCCACCCGTGGCAGGACCCCCGGATGGCCCACGGCACCATGTACCAGGTGTTGCAGCCCACCCGTGGCAGGACCCCCGGATGGCCCACGGCACCACGTACCAGGTGTTGCAGCCCACCCGGATGGTCTGGCCGGCCTGGTAGCTGGCCTGGTTGTGCACACAGGGGCAGTCGGCCACAGCGATGCAGCCGCCCTCACCGTCGGCCACCAACTCGTTGGGACACACGCAGCCAGGCACGCACTGGGGGCTGTACTGTGGGCAGGGCAGACACATCAGTGGACGGGGATGGGGCAGAACTTGCCACACGCAGGTGGAGGGTCCCCGGAGGCCAGCAGTGGGGCCTGCACCCTGTGGGTGGCTGTGGGGGAGGGGGCACAAGGACAGCGGGCCAACAAGCTCTCAGGCAGGGGTCCTCCTGGGACCAGCCTGGGCCACGCCTCCACAGGTGCCCACAAGGGTGGAGCAGGTGCAGGTCATGGTGGTCACCAGGGGCTTGGGGATGCAGGTCACTCACACAGTGCATGTCCAGGGTGTGGCAGCTCTTCTGACAACCGGCCCCGGAGGTCCCCAGCGTGGCATTGCGACAGTCGGAGTAGACCATGGGCGGGGCACAGGCTGTGGAGGAAGGGCCGTCAGGGGCAGCCCAGTCTGCGATGTGTGCATGTGTGTGTGCACATGTGTGGTGTGTGCATGTGTGTGTGTGCACATGTGTGGTGTGTGCATGTGTGTTTGTGCACATGTGTGGTGTGTGCACATGTGTGATGTGTGCATGTGTGTGTGCACATGTGTGGTGTGTGCATGTGTGTTTGTGCACATGTGTGGTGTGTGCATGTGTGGTGTGTGCATGTGTGTTTGTGCACGTGTGTGGTGTGTGCACGTGTGTGTGCATGTTCAGCCTGTGTGTGTCCACACCCCTGCCGCCTCTCACTGAGCACAGACGGCAGGGACTGCCTGACCGAGTGGCTGATCTACAGCCACCACCAAGCTCGCTGTGGGGCACTGCGGGAAGATAACCAAGGGCCTCTCCCTCCCCGCCCTCCCCCCGGCTTACCTGGGTCGGGGGTGTGGCCTCCAATGCAGGTCAGTGTGCCCTGTGTGCAGGTGCTGCGAGGAGAGGGTGCTCAGAGGGTCTGCCCCCGGTGCCCCACCCTTCCCGCCCTGAAGGGGCTCTTACCAGACAGCCCCACGCTCGTGCAGAGACTCCCCATTGGGGACCACGGAGTCCCCGAGGTAGCAGGGACAGGCCTCGGCGGGCACACAGCTGCCCGTGTTGTCCAGGAAGGTGCCGTGGGGGCAGGTGCAGCCGTCCACGGGCACAAAGCTGATGCCGCAGGTGGGGTCCTCGCTGCTCAGGGCCCGGCAGCTGGGCTGGCAGCTGCTGATGTGGTAGCGGTAGGTCATCGCCTTGGGGCAGGTGTCCATGGGCCTCGCTGCAGGGCACCCAGGAGAGGGCGGCACTCAGGACGAGCCTGCTGTCCCCAGGCCCCCTGGTGTCCTGGGCCCCCCACACCTCCTCCAGGGCAGGGTCCCGGGATTCCCTGGCCTCTGAGCCCAGTGCAGGGGCAGGCCCACGGAGCACGCCCTGCAGCCCCGGCTCACCCAGCCCCCGCTCACCCAGCTCCCGCTCACCCAGCCCCCCCCCCCCCGCTCACCCAGCTCCCGCTCACCCAGCCCCCCCCACTCACCCACTCACCCAGCCCTCCCCCCCCCCCGCTCACCCAGCCCCCCCACTCACTGCAGACGCCGGCCCTCCAGCCGCTGAGCAGCACGCCCCGGGCGGCGCAGGCGTGGACGTAGGAGGACAGGGCGGCGCACAGGCAGTCCTCGCTCTTCTCACAGTTGCACGTGTCGAACAGGCAGTTCTGGGGGCGCATCGGGCGTCAGGGACCCCGGCCCACCATGGTGAGCACCCCCACACTGCTGCGGGACCTCCTCCAGGACCCTCCCTCCGCACCAGAGCTCTGGAGCCTAGGGCCTCGCCCTGGTCTCTGTGACCCACCGGGTCAGCCCTGCCAGGTCAGCCTTGGACCCCCTAGCATCTCGCCGCCACCCACTTATCTTTGGACCCCGGGTGTTACGGGGACTGGAGGCTCGAGACAACCCAGGAATCGTGGGCGAGTGAATGAATGAATGGGATCACTTGGCTCCAGGCCCCTGTATCATGGCCCTGGAGACCGCCAGGCCCCTGCAGGTGGCGCTGTGGCCGGAGGGGAGAGGCGGTGGGCAGTGTTACCGAGTGGTAGGAGCCGGGGTTCACAGCGGCGTGGCACTGGGCGAAGGGGCCCTGCGGGTCTGTCAGCAGGGAGCACCAGTGCTGAGCGTATTTCTCTGTGGGCGGAGGAGGAAGGGGGTCAGCAAGGCAGACGGGGCACCTTCCTTTTACCCCGAATCCCCAGCGAGCTGGAGCCCGCCTGGGTCTGCACACGTGGACAGAGCCTCCCGGCACCCCTCTCCGTTTCTGAGCTCACCACGGCAGGGGCAGCACGCACATTGGTGAGTTGCCTGTGTGCCCCAACGGGACGTGCACCCCCGGGACAGGGTGGGCAGCTGGAGCCCAGACCTAGGCCGCCCTCGCCAGGAGGCGTGGGGGTGGGGGTACCTACCGTTCTCCACGCTGAGGGAGCAGGGGTCCTCGAAGCTGTTCTTGACGTTGGGGCAACCGGCCTGGGTCTTCCAGGTGTTGGCGAAGGCGGCGGCCGTGCCCTCCACCACGCCGCTGAGGGTCCGGAAGTCGTCGGCCTGGTTCTGGTTGAAGTTCCCGCAGAGACCTGGCCCGGGAGGGCACATGAGACCCGTGAACCCCGGCCGCCAGGGGTGGGCTCGGGCACCCGGGTCAGGCAGCACCTCTTACCGCAGGTCAGCCCCCGGAGCTCGGGCGCCAGCCTCAGAAACACCTGCATGGTGGGCACCAGCTGGATGTCCACCTGCAGGCCCAGGTGGGTCTGGGCGATGATGAAGAAGGTGGAGGGTCTGAAGAGTATGATGTCGTCTGTGGACACAGGGACACGGGCCTCAGCGGGGCCCTAGGAATGGGACCCGGGGGCTGGGGCGGGTGCCCTGTGCCCTCACCTGCTGAGACGGGCAGCTGGGTGTAGATCTGGTTCACGAACACCTCCCCGCCGGCCTTGACCACCACGACCTGGAGCGGCAGGGGCGTGTTGGTGGCAGCCGCGGGTGGGGTGTCAGGGCTCTGCTGGTGCCCCCGCCACCCCCGGAGACTGAAATGTGCCTGACCTCTGCCCATGGGGAGAAGCAGATGCCTGCATCCCCCAGAGCCCTGGGCTCACCCCAAGTTTTCTACAAGGGCTGAGGACTGTGCATTTTTTCAGTCATGTAAAAACCAAAGTGATTTTTATACATAGAGAAGCCACCGCCCCCTTCATGGGCCCTGGGGACGGTCACTCAGAAGACCCACAGGGATGGATGCAGTGAATGGGGCAGGAGGGTCCCGAGGCCACGCCTGGCACTCCCTGCCCATGCCAGGGCCAAGGGCCAGGGCAACGGTCCCTCCCGGGGAGCCGCCCCCGCCCGAGCCCGGGCTCTGCGCTCACCGTCTGGCCCCCGCCCAGGCTCAGCGTCACGCTCCTCAGGCAGGTCTCGCTGTCCGTCAGTCCGCACCTGCGCAGCTCCGCCAGGACCGTGAAGGCGCTGCTGTTACAGGGCTGCGGACAGGGGTCCTCAGGCTTCGCCCAGCCCGCCTCCCCTTCCTGCCCCCGTGGGAAACCCTGGGGCCAGTTCCTGGAGGACCCCGGGTGGCCCCGGCTGCACACGGCCCAGGCAGGAGACCTCTGTGTCCTGCGGGGACCCCGGGGCGCACCTTGGCCAGCACGTAGCTGCAGTCCCCGTGCACCGTGTACAGCCTCTCGTCGAACGTGGAGATGTGGGCGCCGCCCAGCACCGAGCAGGTGCCCGGGCACGGAACCTCCCGGCAGCTCCACCGGCCTCCGGAGCAGGTGCTGAGAGCAGAGAGACCATGGGCGTCCGCACTGCGGGCACCCAGCCCCCGCCTCTGCGTTCTCCCCGGGCCTGCCTGCGTCACCACGCAGACCAGGACCCCGTGGGAGAGGGCGCCCAGGGTCCGGGCAGCTGCCCTGAGAGGGCCCGTCCCAAGGCCACCTGGGGGGACAGGAGGGAGGGACCGGGGTCCTACCAGTTGGTGCAGTCTGTGGAGTAGACAGCCCCCGGGGCATAGGTGGCTCCGTTGTACACACAAGGACACTGAGACACAGGGACACAGCCAGCCTGGCCGATGTCATCGAGCACCATCCCTGCAGAAGGGGGCGGGCTGTGTGACAGGCGCTGGGGGGCTGGGTCCACCGCGTGAGCACAGGGAGGAAATGGGTCCTCTGTCCCCGGTGGCCCTGCCCCAAGAGTTTGTCAGACCCAGGGGCCTGGCAGCCGTGGGCAGCTCAGACAGGCCTCCCTCCTCCGCCTCAGGTGTGGCGGTGCCGGCAGCCTGGGGGCCCAGAATGCACCTGCGTGATTCTCGGGGGTGGGGGCAGTGCTGGGGGCTCGGCTCACCCTCCGGGCAGAAGCAGCCGGCCACGCAGTGGTCCTCGCAGAGCTGGGAGTGCTCCAGGTTGGAGCAGGTGTCAGCGCAGGGCGAGCCGCACTCTCGGTACTGCATGTTGTGGGGGCAGGTCTGGGCTGCAGGGGGGAGGCGGGCCCACGTCACCTCTGCCCCTGCTGCTGGGGGCCGGGCAGGACCGTGGGGCAGGGCGGGGGCTGCGGGGACACTCACGGCAGAGGTCGGGCCCCCGCCAGTCCAGGGGCAGCCCCCCCGCGTGGGCACACTGGCGGGAGAACTCGGCGAGGGTGTGGCAGGCGCAGCGGGTGAGGTCCAGGTGCTCGCAGAGGCAGAGGTCATGCTGGCAGGCCTGCAGGAAGCTGCCGGCGTCCACCAGGGGGGTGCAGCCCAGGAACAGCTCGCCCCTCAGGAGCTCCTCGCAGAGGCCCTGGGGCAGAGCCAGAGCCAGCTGAGTCCAGGCTCGGAAGGCCCCTGGGCTCCCAGTCCCTCACCACAGCCCGGTGACGGTGGGAGCGGGGCCCGCCGGGGCCGTCCACGGCTTACCAAGCCCGCAGAGCAGTTCACTGGGGGCGCAGGGACGGGGTCCTGACACTGCTCCATGGGGCCGTCCATCTTCTGCAGGCTTCCAAACTCGATGGGGGTCAGCTTGGCATCTGCAGGAGGCACAACACTGGGCTTTGCAGGTTCCTGGTGCCCCCTCGCCGCCCCCACTGCCTGAGGTGTCCTGGCTCTGCCCGCCTCCCCTGTCCACACTGCCGGGTCAAGCAGCGGCTGCATGGGACATTCAGAGGTCTGGAGATGAACTGAGGGGCCCCCAGGCACCGGGCTGGGCCGGTGCACAGCTCAGAGAGCTGGAGAGGAACCCGGGGCTCTGCCGGCCCTCAGAGCCCAGCCACGCCTGTGCTGGGCCTCCCTGGCCAGGGCCACTGGAAACCCCTCTGGGTGGGCTTCATGAGCCTGGCAGAGGGGATCTGGGGATGGTTCGGGTTGCACAATAGTCCACTGCTTGGTGGCAAAGACTCGAGGACAAAGAGCAGTGACAGGGTCTAATTTCAGGAGAGGGTGTGTGTTCAGGGTCTACCGAGAGCCCAGAGCAACCTCGCTGAGGAAAAGACCACCAGCTACACTGCTGAGAGCACGCAGTGTGCCAGGATCACATGGGTGTGCATGTGTGCACACTGGGCTTGTGTGAGTGTGCATGTGTGTGCATGTGTGCATGCTGGGATCGCGTGGGTGTGCATGTGTGTGCACATGTGCATGCTGGGATTGTATATGTGTGCATTCTGAGATCACGTAGATGTGCACACTGGGCTTATGTGAGTGTGCATGTGTGCACGCTGGGCTTGTGTGAGTGTGCATGTGTGTGCATGTGTGCATGCTGGGATCGTGTGGGTGTGCATGTGTGTGCACATGTGCATGCTGGGATTGTGTATGTGTGCATTCTGAGATCATGTAGATGTGCACGCTGGGCTTGTGTGAGTGTGCATGTGTGTGCATGTGTGCATGCTGGGATCGTGTGGGTGTGCATGTGTGTGCACATGTGCTTGCTGGGATTGTGTATGTGTGCATTCTGAGATCATGTAGATGTGCACGCTGGGCTTCTGTGAGTGTGCATGTGTGTGCATGTGTGCATGCTGGGATCGTGTGGGTGTGCATGTGTGTGCACATGTGCTTGCTGGGATTGTGTATGTGTGCATTCTGAGATCATGTAGGTGTGCACGCTGGGATTGTGTGTGCATATGTGTGCACACTGGGATCATGTGAATGTGTGCAGGGATATCTATGCACATGCATGTGCATAGCTGTGTGCAGGTCTGCATTTGTGTGCATGCACATGTGTGTGGTCGGATTGTGTGGACGCAGGGCACACAAGTTGGAGCCACGTGACTTGGGACCCTGGGGGCAGCCTTGCGGGGAGCAGAGTGAAAGAAGCCGGAGCAGATGGGGCGGCCGCGCCCGGGGCTCACTGTGGGAGAAGAACTCGTTGAAGACAGGGACACCGTTGAAGTCTCCGCAGAGCCCACAGGTCTGGTTGGCGTATTTGATGTCCAGCTCGAGCTGGAAGGAGAGGACCCTTGAGACGCCTGGCCCGCCAGGGAGTCCAGGACCAAAGGACAGACGAGTGTGGGAGCCTGGACCCCCCCTGAAGGGCTAGGGCTGCTCAGCAGAGACCCACGTACTCATGGAGCGAACCCAAGCGGGGTCCTGTCCTGGAGGAGACGTCACGGGCCCCATCCTCACCGTTGTGAGGGACGGGGTCTGACCTCCCCACCCCCTCCACCCAGGGCACCTTCCCCCTCAGCGCCCCGGCCTCCGCCCAACCCCACTCACCAGGAGGCTGTTGTCCTGGTTCCACATGAGGACCAGGCCCAGCCTGGCCACCACCTTCAGGTAGCTGGCGCTGCGCTCCACCAGGACCCCGGACTGGCTAAAGGGCAGCCGAGTCCTGTGGAGACAGGGCCCGCGGAGGCGTGAGGGGCATTCGAGGACAGGGAGTGGAGGGCTGGACCTCGGAGGGAGGGTTCCTCTGGTCACGGATGTGACGAGTCCGCCATGCCACGGACAGCACCAGGATGACAGTGCCAGGGGCCCGGGGGCCAAGTGCAGGGCCTGGGGGTGCTCCCCCCCTCCACCGCGAGGGTGACCCCACATCCCTCCCACTCCACCCAGGCCCTGGGCCTTCCAGGGGCCCAGACTCACGGGTGACCGTTGACCAGGATGGAGTTCTCGGTCAGCTCCAGGACCAGGCCGTTGAGCTTCATGGTGACCCTGCGGAGGGCGCTGGCGCTGGGCTCCGGGCCGCGGCGCAGCTGGATGTTGAAGTCCTCGTAGGCGGCCCCGCAGTGCGCCGAGAAGACGTAGTTGCAGAGGCCGGGGAAGCGGAAGATGTCGCCGTCGAAGGTCTTGTAGTGGAAGTCCCCCCACGTGCTGCAGACCCGCCCGTTGTGCGCCGGGTTCGAGGCTGCGGGGAGAGCAGCAGGCCATGCTGAGCGTGCCCCCGCCTCACGCCCTCAGGTGCCTGAGTCTAGGCCAAGCTTCTGCCCGAGGGCAGGAGTCTGGGGAGGTCCTGCCAGGACCCAGGGGCCCCTTTTCCTTCTCTCAGTCTGTGTCCACCCAGAAAGCAGGACCCGAGGTCGGAGGAAGGAGGACCCACGCACACAGGCCCAGCCCAGCCTCGTGGGGTTACTCACCTCGCACCACGGGAGTGGTCCTCAGAGGCGGGAGGATGGTCACCCCAAGGGGTGCGTGGCCTGCGGGGACAGGGCGGGTTGACACACAGCCCCTCTCGCCTCCCCCACGGCACACACAGCTCGGGCGGGGTGGGGAGTCTCTGCCCAGCCAGGTGTTGGCTCCCACACCAGCTGGGTCCCGCCAGCTACGGCTTCCCTGCCCGTCGGCACACACTCTGGCCACCAAGCAGCTCTCCCTGCCTTCCCCCTCCTCTCGGCCACCCCCCGAGCCGCCTGGGCACCCCGTGCTCATGCCCAGCTGGCCCAGAAGGCTGTTTGCACCCAGAATCTCAGAACGCCTAAATCGGCCCCCGGCTGAGCGGGTGCCAGGGGTGCTGAGATCAGACAGGCGCGCTCCCCAGGAGTCGTGCTGGGGAGAGGCCCTCGCACCCCCCCCCCCCGCCCCGTTCCAGGACTCCTGGCTGGTCTTCCTGCACGTGTGCGCGGGCACAAAATGCACGCCTGGCGAGGCTGCCCCTGCCGCGTATGTGGGTGTCCCCCAGCCAAGTCCTGGCCCCTCAGTGGACCAGCCGGAAGGCGCCCACGGTGAGTGTCCCCTCAGGGTCTCTGGCGGGTGGGGGGCTGTGACAGGTGGGCCGACTCACCGCTGGGCCCCTGGGGGCCAGGACGGAGGTGCAGGTGCTCATCCCCGGGTTCGGCAGAGCTGTGCTGGGCCCAGCCTGTGGGGAGAGGGGTCCTGAGCCGGGGCCAGGCACACTCGGCGTGCTCAGGGCGGGGGTCTTGCCTCTGTTCGGAGCCAGGCTGCTGATGGCACCGGGAGGCTCACCTGGGCCCACAGCTGAGCCATGACCCTCCTTGAGCACCCCCTTGGGCCCATGAGCGTTTGGGGCCTCCCCGGCCCTGACCTGCTGTCTCCAGGGCCACTCAGTAGTAGCAGCAGCCGCCTAGTGCCGGGCCCCTGAGGGATCGGGGGTAGAGGCAGAGGTCCCCACAGCCCAGCTGGAGGTCCCCAGGGCTCTACAGGGGAACCTGGAGCAGGTTGGGGGCCTGGGGCCCAAAGTGGGCGGAGCTTGCTCTGAATGGAGAGCTCAGGGCTGCTGAACATGGGGCTCAGCACAGGCGAGGCTGGGGAGGGGCTGAGGGACAGTGCGTGGGCCCCAAGGCCGGTCGGGAGTCCTGAGGCTGGTTTCTGGGGTCTTCAGAGGCCGACCAGCATGGCAAGAGGGGCACCAACCCCCCCCAGGACCCTGAGGGCGAGGATGGGGTCAGGGGTCAGGGGGCCAAGAGCTCTGAGCAGCAGAGGAAGACAAGAGGGCGGACCGTGTGGGCCAGAGGCTGCCCACGGACAGGGAGGGCGGGCAAGGGCCTGGGGACCTGGGCTCCTGCTTCTCCACCTCAGGGCCCTGCCGCCCCGAGAATCCCGCCCCAACCCCAGGAGCTGGGAACCTGGGGCGGCTTGCGGGGTCGGGCGGAGCGGCTCACGGACACACTCAGCTTGTCCGGAGCCAGGGCAGGGCCTCCGGGCTGCCTGCTGCCCGCCGGGGCCCAGGGCCTTCCTGGGAAAGCCGTCCGGCCTGCGTCTCACCTGTGTGCTGGGCACAGGCCAGGGCAAGAGCCAGGGCCCAGAGGGCAGCCAGCTTCCTCGGGCCAACACCCATCGTGCGGAGGACGGGGAGAAGCCGGGCAGCCTCTGAGGACCGACCTGCGTCGGCAGGAGGCTTTTGTAGCCCCGGAGCTGGCCCAGCCCTGGTCACTTCACGTGGGTGGGCGGGGCGGGGCCCGTGGAGCCCTCGTCCAGGTAAACAGTGGGCACTGGCTCTGGGCTGGCTGGTGGCCCGAGCCAGGCAGAGATGAGCATGCTGCCAGGGGGCAGGGGGTGTCCTGAGGGCGCCCCACGTCCTGGCCTCAGGCATCCTCCTGCTGGGCCCCCACCTAGAATCTCTCTGGGCACATGTCCACGTAGCTGGACCCCTGAGTTCCTGGTGCCCAGGAAGTCTGCTGGTCTCCTCACCAGGGCCAGCCTCACCCTCCCTGGAGAGAGGCTCAGGGGGTGGCCCCCCAGTGACAGGACCTTCCCCATCGCGCAGCCCACCCAGTGCTGCCCGACCCTGGCTGTGATTCAGGCCCCTGGCCCCACGCGAGCAGCGGGCAGTGGGCAGCTCGATTCACCTGTAGGCCTGTGGCCGCAAGGGGCAGGGGTGTCCGTGCCCACCAGGTGGGGAGATGCCGACTGGCCCCACCCCGAAACCGTCCCCAGGGTCTTTGCCCTAATGTGCAGACACCCGGCCTCACCTGGGGAGACCAGAGCTGAGGGAGGAGGCGGCCCGGCTGGGATCTGGGGTCCCGAGGCCTCCAAGCTGTTCTGAGAAACTGGTGCTGTTCTCTCGGAACCTGTCCCAGGCTCCTCTGGTCACCCTCTCTGTGTGAGCCGTCCCCTCCCCTCCCCGGACTTGGCCCCGGGACGTGGGACACAGAACTGACACATCGCAGGAGTGTGGGGGACGATGGACGAGGGAGTGGGCCCATGAGTGGTCATTCCGGAGAAGGGGTGCATGCAGGACGGGGGAGTAGTGGGGACCCCGACATCTGACCCTTCCCGCATAGCTGGGAAGCCCTGCCCGGCCTCAGAGCTGGACACCAGGTCACCTGTGCTGGGCCTGTGGGGCCCCAGGGGCAGGCAGGTGGCTTGTCCTTAGACTGTGGACGTTGGAACCAGTGCTCGGGAGGGAGGTCGAGGGCCTGCGCTGGGGCCAGGACCCAGGCCCAGGGGGGTGTGAGGACATGACCTGTCCCTGTCACACCCCAGAAAGGCAGGGAGGCCACAGGTCAACCAGCGTCCACACTCCCAGCACGGGAACCGTCCCGAGTCCACACCACAACCTCTGGCCCATCTGAGTCACCAGCCTGGCCCTCAGAGGGGTCATGCCCTGCATGGCCAGGGTTGAGCTGACCCACCCAGGCGGCGGGCACGGTGAGCTTGCGTCCCGAGCTCTTCCAGGCCGAGACGCTGCTCGCGATGGCGTCCTGCGGGCCTGGCTGCGGGTCCCCCACCTGACGGGTCACAGGCCGCCCTCCTGCCCTGGAAATCTGCCAGACTGCACAGCTCAGGGGGCCCAGGCCTGGTGCCACTCACGCCCGAGGGCCCAGCTCTGGAGGGGCCATCGGCGGGGTCTCGAGCCAGGACAGGTGTGGGCCAGCGACCGGGACTCAAACATCAGGGTCCTTCCCTGTGCCCTCCCGAGCCCAGTGGGGCGTGGCCCTGCCCTCCGCCTGGGGCTTCGAGCTCAGGGAGGGTCCTGCGGGGGAGGCGAGGCTGAGCCTCAGTTTCCTCATCTGGAACAGGGGTCCGTGGAGGTCCTTGCAGGAAGGGGGCCACATGGGCAGGGGACCCACAGTCTGGGGCTGTGTGCCTGGAACAGGGGTCCGTGGAGGTCCTTGCGGGAAGGGGGCCACACGGGCAGGGGGCTCACAGTCTGGAGCTGTGTGCCTGGAACAAGGGTCACAGGTTGGGCCACCCTGGCCCAGGCAGCAGCCCAAGGAGGCCTTTGTCCCCTGAGGTCCCCGGGGGGTGCCCAGCCTGTGCTTGGGTCACTGCCGGCCCCCCACCCAGATCTGATAAGCTCATGGGTTGGCTGGAGTCCAGGGAGAGAGAGGGCTGGGGTCCTGCCCTCCAGGATCTCCGGGGAGTTGCCATGGAGATGGGGGGACAGTGGAGGGTGTGGGGAGCTGGGTGGAGGCCCTGGCTGCATCCCAGAGTGTCACTCTCACTGACACGCTATCGCGGGCCGCTGAGTCACTCGGGCGCTGTGATTCGGGACAGGAAGCGGGCTCAGATAGCCCTGTGTGTGCGGGTGAGGGGCCAGCGCTGGCCCAGGGGAGGACGAGAAGCCTGCCGGCCCTGGTCCGACCCTGCAGGGGGGCACCCCCTTTCTGTGCCCGGTCTCGTCTCCCTTGCTCTGTGTGGGTCTCCGTCCGTCTCTCTTGCGGGTTTCTGTCCCCTCATCGGTGTTTTCATCTGTGTCCTTCATTTCGCCTGGGGACCCCCCGGTCCCTGCATGCTGGGGAGTCCAGCGCCCCCTCTTGGGAGCAGGTGAAGACGAGGCCTGGACCCCAGGACCCCCCTAGGGTAGCGTGGTCCTCAAAGCTCTGTCCTCAGACTGGTAACATGGCAGAGGCAGCCTCCAGCTCCCTCCGGGGCCCCCTTCTCAGGCACGGCCACGGGGCCGCCACCCACCCACTCTCGGGTGTCCCGCCCGCTCCCGCCGCAGCCGGCAGTAAAGGAGGCAGCCACGGGCTATCCCAGGACCTCAGGCCCCCGCTCAGCCCAGCCCTGGCCTGGCCCCAGCCCTGAGCCCGGCTCCAGCCTGGCCTGGCCTGTTCCTGGCCAAGGCGACCAGGGCTGCCACTCGCCACTTCTGTTCTGGTCTCTGGACACAGCAGAGGTCCTGCAGCAGGACCTGCAGTGCTGCTGGGGTCCCCGGGTTCTGGCCCGCGGGGCCTGGCGGCTGAGCCCCCTGCAGGGCCCCTGCCTCCCCGTCACCGGCCAGGCGTGGCTTTGGGCAGGGAGGGGGCTCCAGGGGGCTGGACAGAGGCGAGTGCACCATGGAGCCTTGGCTTCCACCCCTCAGGGCGCCTCCAATCCAGAGGTCAGCAGCGGCACCCAAGGCCTCCCTGGGCAGAGGCAGGGCCTGGAGCAGCCCGAGCTGAGAGCGGAGTCCATCTCGGCCTCTTTGCCCCACGTGGGCCCGCTGTCCCCACACTCCAGACACACTCCTGGGGAGCCAGCCTTTCATTCAGTCCTTAAACCGAAACCGCGCCCGGCCGGTGTGGCCCAGTGGACTGAGCGTCGTCTCTGGACTGAGCGGTCCAGGTCCTCGGTTCCCGGTCAGGGCACCTGCCCGGGCTGCAGGCTCGATCCCCAGTAGGGGGCCTGCAGGAGGCAGCCCGTTGAAGTTTCCATCTCTCCCTTCCTCTCTCTCTACAAAATTAGTAAGGACATATTTGAAAACAAACAAACAAAACCCCTGTGTGGTAGGGACTCTGTCATCCCCACCTCGCAGGCCACAGGCGGGCAGTGCCTGGCCAGGGCAGGGCTCCTCCCTGCGGGACAAGGTGGTATCCGGGCCCCAGGACCCAGCAGCTGTGTGGCCCTGGGCCCGCGCATGGCCGTCTCTGTGCCTGGGACGTCTCACCTGGAGAGCAGTGGGCACAGGAGGTGCCCGGCACCAAGGTGAGGTTCTCCGGGTGTCCTCCGAGCTGTGCCTGGTCCCTGGGAAGGGCCCCCACCGCCCTGTGTCCCACCCCCACCCCGGGTCCCTCGATGGGGTGGGGGACACTATTTGGTGCTGCAGCCTGGCCTGTTTTCGGGAGCCTCGGCGGCCACACCTCATGTGCGGGTCGGGGCCACCCACCCTCCAAGCAGTTTATGGGGGTCGCGTGTCTCCCCCTGTGGTGGGGAATGACTTCAAGCTTCACGACAAAGATCCAGGCCCCCACCCGGGGAAGAGGAAGTGGGCTCAGCCTGGGGGTGGTGGGGAGGCCCCGCGGCCAGGACACTGACAAGACTGTCACCTGTGTTGACAGAGGACTGGGTGGGCTGCCACTTCCCAAGCCCGGAACTTCCCCGAAAGGGGGAGGCGCCGGTCCCTCCGCTGTGCTGTGGGGCAGAGGAAGACCATCCGGGTGCCGGGTGCCGGTGGGGGGGGTCCGCCCCCCGCCAGGGCTGTGACTTCCCTGAGGGGTGCTCTCTGCGGGGCGAAGAAAGGGGGCGGGTGTAAATTTGGTTTTTGGTGGGGCACACTTTGCGTGTGCGTGCGTGTGTGTGCGTGTGTGTGTGTGTGTGTGTTTATTCGTCTGAATCACTGGGCAAACAGAATTCCTCCCCAAGTGGGCCTGGCTCAGGCCCTGCCCCCCCCCTGCTCCACACAGCGAGGCCCAGCCTGGGCTCCACCCCCACCCCGCCTTTCCTGCCCAGGCCCCCGAGGGCGTGCTGGGCTGGGGTCCCCCCCACCTCAGCCCAGGCTCCTGGAGCCTCCTCCCCCCTCCCCCTCTGACCCCTGCTCCAGGCCCAGGACACACAAAGGCCCCTCAGCCCCTTCCCCAGGCCCCTGAGGAGGCACCCCCCTCAGAGGCTCCGAGTCTGCCATTCATTTTGGAGTGGGGGGGATGTTCAAAGGTCCTGGGGCAGGTCTGCAGAGCCAGACCCCCCTCCCAGGCCCATGTGAGTTTCCTCTGGCTCCTGACCCCACAGCCCCAGGGTCTGCGACAGTGGGGGACAGTCCACAGGGTTGTCCCTGCAGCTGAGCACATTTGTGTCCTCCATGCCTCCCCCACAGCCGGGCACTGCGGGGCCAGGGAGTGGCTCTCATACCACTGAGAACCCCCCTCCTCTGCCCACACGGGCCGCTGCCACCCGGGGCCCTGGACAGAGAGGAGCCCCCGGAGAGAGGGGAGGTCGAGGGGCATGTACTCTGCTGTGTAGCTGTCCCCCCGCGGTGGCTCCCAGGGCGCGTGGACCCGACAGGAGCGGGGACCTGACCCCAGGATGAGAGGAACATCAGCAAGAGCCGGGGAGGGCCGTCCCATCCATCGGCTCGTTTAAAAGGTATCTTTCTGTCCGGCTGGTGTGGCTCAGCGGTTAGAGCACTGGTCCTCGGACTGAAGGGTCTTGGGTTCG